AGATTTCTGGTGTGGGGAGTGGTGACCCTTCCCAAGTTCTTCTGATCTGAAGTCATGGAGAACACAGAGTCAGGCTCATTGTTCTGCAGTAGTTGGGATTAATGACAAATCAGAAGGAAGGGGAATCTGAGCCTTTCCCTTGCTTCAGTTCTTCAGTGCAGAGCAGTTGTCTCCTATGCTTTGGCACACAGGAGGCATCTAACAAATGTGACTGGTCCTCCAGCAGACACAGCCCTTGGGAGGTCTAGGTCTACCTCAGGGGCTGTGGATTTGCCCAAATCCTGGCCTGTGGAGCTCATGAGAGCTGGGAGCAGCTCTTGCTTTTGTATAGGAAAGATGTCAAAGATATATTGATGAAAAGCACACATTTTCCAGCTGGGTCAGTGGGAGAAGAGATTAGAGGACAATGAAGTGATAATGCTGTGCCCAGCATCTCTATATAGCTGAGTTCTTTGTGTGTATCTGGCTGATACAGGATAAGGAAGTAGGTCCTTTGATAGAAAGGCTGGGAAATAGCAAATGCATAGGCCTGGGTACTGTGGAGCCCTTGTTTCAGGAGACAGGGCCCCTATCACTGATGAGCATGACATTGAGAGTGGACTCGAAGCAGAAAACCAGCTAATGAACTGAGCGGTCTTTCCATGGTGGTGCCTGACAACAGTCTTCTACTCTTCCCCTATTTTTATTGGTTTTCTCAGTCAAGCAATTACCCTATGTCTTTGTCTACTTTGTAGAGCTGTAGGAGAGTACCACAGAATGGGTAAAATACAAACTCAGATCAGTATTTTCTCACAGTTCTGGAGGCTGTGATGTTCAAGATCATGCTGGTGCATCTGGAAAAGCGCTGTGGCTACATTGTCACATGGCAGAAATCAGGGGACAAGAGAGGACCAACTTGCACTTTTATGATGTCAACAACCTCCTCTATTAGCACAGAGAACTCAGCCTAGTCATACATCAGGTCCCTGCTACAGACACTGTTAGAAGTGCAATTAAATTTCAACATGACTTCTGCAGGGCAACACATTTTCAAACCACTATCCGGGATTGTTGGTACATCCCAGCAAGCTAAGCACTCTGGGAGGCTAAAGCAAGAGCATTGCAAGTTTGTGTGTAGCCTCAGGGTCTTAGCAACTTAGACTATTTCAAAATAAAAAATAAAAATGGGCCGAGAATGTAGCTTTGTGTGAAGGCCACTAGTACTATCAACAAACAAACAAGCAGAACATAACAAGCAGGTAGCTGCACACATATATATGCTAAGAGAGTCACGATCTTCTGATTTATGCCCATTGATTAAGGGCCAACTTCTCACTTTGTAAGGCAGGTTCACCGTGACTCTAAAGTAAATAAGTAAATGAGGCTCTATGTGACCCCTACTATTAAATAATTGCTTCATTCCAGTTATTGTGCAGCTTGGGTTTCATAATACCTTCTTTTACTGTCAATCTTGGACAACAGGGACACTTAATGTAAACTGAAATTCACTTGTCCTAAGGATCGTGGTCACTTGGCTTGCACAATACACTAGTTCAAACTTGCCCAAGTGTCTTTCCTTTGTTATTGGAGTGTTCATAATGGTGAGTATTCACTACTGTTTCATCCACTATAGGTTTCTATAATGTCTAGGTTTATGTGTCATCTTGGCTCATCTATACTACCCAACTATTTAGTATTTGGTATTTAATCAAATATTTATTTATTTATTGTATAATCAAATACTAGATTAGGATTTTCTGTATCTAAGATTTTTGTACCTATGATTAATATCATCAATTAGTTGACTTCAAGCAAAGCAGATAATTCGTAATAGGTGAGTGGTTCTCGTGCATGTATATACATAGGAATAAGTGCAAAATAGATGACACGTAAATAGGAAGTAGAAGAAGTTCAAATAATTCCCCAAAATACCTATTCTGTTGTTTCAAGAATATTTTAAAATGTATGTTAATTTGTTTCATTTATACTACTAGCTTCTCTAGTTCATTGAAAAGAAAGTTTTGTGCTATTATCACCTTATTTCTTCTTTATAGGAGAGAATCTTCTTTGTCTCTGAGTAACTTCTTTGAAGATAATGATTCAGAGTGTATAAACTACAATTAATCTCTTATTATTTTATGATTAAATTTTGCTTTATTTTTCAAAATATAAAAGAGAAACACTGAAGTTTTCTAGGACAGAAGTAATTTTGTCTCTCATATGTACATTAAATCCTGCTTGGTTTTCCAACCCCGTGCTGTTGTGCAAACTTAATCAGCTCACAATCTCCTGTGAGACAATTCCTTAACATAAAGCCCAACATATGCAATATTGACTGTGTTTACCTGAATACTCTTAAGAAATATGGTTCACATCTTATATATCAAAGGGACATCCTAGCATTCCATTAGAATTAGCACCGAGAGACCTCATCTGAGGGCAAAATCCTACATCATGAAAAAGTGAGTTGGTGGAAAACACTTCTTTTGCATTGGGCAGAGGCAAACACTGAGGAGACCAGGAATTAAATCTCATTGAGACCTCAGCACAGCACCCAGATGTGGGAGGGTAGTCCCCTCCAGCAAAGGGGGAGAGTTTTTCCTCACAACGAAGAAGGATCAAGTGGAATCATGCTGTCTGTGCTACCCTTCTCTCTCATTCCACATTCTGTGGTGTACTGTTTGCCTATCACTGTCCTAGCAGCACAGGGCACTTCCCCACCTGTGAATCAGTCTTGTTTTAATAACAGCCCTCTTACAACACATTCTCACCTCTGATATTCTGAAGTTTGCCTCCAGCTGTCAGACCCCCATTTCTCTTTCCACAGCGTTGACTTGGGTGGCTGACTGTTGTCCTGTGCTCTTCCCAGTGTAGGTTGAGAACACTGTATTTAAGCTCCTGAAAACTGCCCTTTACCAGCCCCTGCAGCCTTCTATTTCTTGACATCATGAGATTCTGACTGGTATGATCTAACACTTAACCATGCTCTTCATTTTCTTTACCAACATACAGTTCCATAACTTTAACCTAAAGGACAGCCCCCCAGGATGACTCTCACTTAAATCCTTAGGTTGAGTTCCTTCCCATGCAGATTCTGAGGACAGGAACTTTATTCTAGTGACTCACCCAGGTAAAGCCATAAAGGAATGGGAAGGATTCAGAGAAAGAATGGATGCTGGAAAGAAGGCACACTTGTTATTGTTTAAATAAAAAATGGCCACCAAAATCTCAAGTGTTCAAAGATAGGGCTTTTGGAAGTTGATTGGATTATGGGAGCATTATATTTGTTGGTGAGTTAATCCATTCTGTGTTCACTGCTGAATGTGCTGTTAGGAGTTGGGGCCTGGTCAGAAGGGATGGGTCACTGGGATTATGATTGGATAGTTGTATTCTCCCTTGTTTCATCCTTGTCTCTCTGCCTCCTCCAGCTGTGGATCAGTCATCTTTTCTCTCCCACGCTCTTTTTCCAAGTTATTTCTGAATCAGAACTAGCCTACTATGGACTGAATCCTACGAAATCATGAGCCCATAAAACCCCTCTTCCTTTGCTGTACTTGTGGTAGATATTTTGTCCCATGAATGGGAAACCAATACAGAAAAATATGGTACCAAAAGTGGGGTCATTGCTGTGACTATACCTAATCGTGGGGTTCAGAATCATTTGGAACTGGTTTGCAAGAGGAGTTTGAAAAAATTTGGCTATGGCTGCTACAGAAATCTTGAATGCTGAAGGCAGAGATTGATGGGAGATGCTAATGAGAGCTCAGAAGACCAAAATGCTAATAGGAACTGGGATAGTAAAGGTCAAGCTTGGGAGGATTCAGACAGGAATGCTGACTATATTAAAAATCTGAGTTTCTGGGCTGGGGATTTAGCTCAGTGGTTCTGGCGCCTGCCTCAAAAGTGCAAGGTCCCAAGTTCAATCCCTGGTACCAAAAAAAAAAAAAATAAAAAAAAAAATCTGAGTTTCTTACCTCATGGGCCTTGCTATCAATTAATATCATGAGGTTAACAATGGAAATTGCTTAAATCACTCAGTTTTATGCATGTGTGAATTTGTGTGTCTGAATTAGGAAATACCTTTCCTATGCTTTATATGGTTAAACAGTTGATAAAAAAGATTTCGTTGACAAAAATGCTTAGGAAAGTAAGTTTTCCAGGCCACTAAATTTCTAAATACATAACTAAGGAACAATAGTTGTTACACCTGTTACCTCTCACATTAGTACCCTGTAACTCAATGAAGTTTTTGTAATCTTGGACTGTATGTTTATAATGCATTTTAAGTTATTTTTGAAATAAAATCATTTCAAATTTTATTGAAATTTATAGTGGGGACACTAATAAATTATCATTAGTGTATATTAAGTTAGATTAAACCCACCCAAAAGGGTGTCACTTGGTCTAGACAGAGAAATTGACACTAAGAAGTGCCCAGGTATCGTCACTCAGGCACGGTGCAGTGAGGAGCTGGCTGCAGAGCTCTTCTGCTTAATAAACTGCACTTCACATCCATGGAAGAGGAAAGGAACAAAGGAGCCTACCAAACACAGCCACGTAATAAGCATGGCTCTGCTCACAATGTTAGGTCAGGTGGCCAAGAGACCTTAAGTGGTCATTAAGGTGAAAGATAGAAATAAAGTTGCAAATCAGTGAATTCAGTTTTTTCTTTTTCTTCACTTCCACTTAAACAGTCCTTGCAACAAAGTCACAAACATAATAAAATCTCTAAAACATTCCTTGATTATGTATTTTTCTCTTTATTATCATTGGTCATTAAATAATTTATCTAGATATTAAATGCTTGAGAAGAATTTACTTCCTATGGATTTATTTTCAAGAAAAAAACAAACAAATTCAAAGTATTTATTTCATGGGTACAATGCTTAAGTAAAATTTGTAGTCTTGTTTTGTGAGTAAAGTCTGATGAGCACAATGTGTCTTGGGGTCTACACAGAATATCTATCTTTATATCTTTCCTGGCAGATTTTCTAAAGCCATACTTTCTCTACCAATGTGCCTCATCTCAGCATCTGCCTCAGGGCCCCTAGGACCTCCTTGTTCCTCAGGCTGTAGATGAATGGGTTCACGAGGGGTGTGATGATGGTGTAAAACACTGCCACTGCCTTATCCTGGGCAGGGTCATGCAATGAGTGAGGACGCGTGTAGGTGGAGATACCTGTTGTGTAGAAGAGGCTGGCCACAATCAGGTGGGAGGAACACGTGGAAAGAGCTTTGGTCTGTCCTGTGCCTGAGCGCATCTGGAATACAACAGTGAGCACCCGAGCATAGGAAGCTAGGATGGCCAGGAAAGGCAGCAGCAGGATAATAAGTACACTCAAGAGGATGGCATGCTCATACTGGGAGGTGTCCTGACATACCAATGGCAGTAGAGATGGAATTTCACAGAAAAAGTGGTTAACGACCCGAGACCCACAGAAAGGAAGCTGGAAAACATACAGTGTGTGTATTAAAGAGTTGACAGCACTGCTGGACCAGGCGCACATGACCAGGGAGCAGCAGATCTTCTTGCTCATGAGTACAGGATAGTGCAAAGGATGGCAGATGGCTATATAACAATCATATGACATGAAGCTCAAGAGAATGGCTTCTGATCCGCCAAGGCTCAGGAATACAAATGTCTGAATCTCACAGCCTCGGAATGCAATGGTCTTGGTATTTGTCAGGAAGTTGGTTGCCATCTTTGGCACAGTGGTGGAGATGTACATCATGTCGATGAGGGAGAGCTGGCTGAGCAGGAAGTACATGGGTGTGTGGAGTCTGCTGTCCAGTCGGATGAGGTGGACCAGGGTGATGTTCCCCAGCACAGCCACCATGAAGAGAATGGCAATGGCACCAAAAAGGAAAGCATTCATTCCGCCATATTGGAAAAGACCAACAAGCATAAAATCTGTCCCAGAACTTTGGTTTCTTGTTTTCATGGCTTAAATTGAGATATCAAAGCAGTATATGAAAAGTCCATGGACTAATGTTAACTCCCCTTTGTAAGAGACAAAATGACAATAACTCTATATGACAGGTATTTTCAGAATCACCTTAGGTGGTTACATCTCTTTCTCCTCTTAAATACATTAAATCCTCGTACATAGTTATTTTTAGTTATTTTTCACTTGTGATTAACATACAGTAGTTGCAGATATTAATGCACTACATTTCATATTTCACCACATGCATAGAGTGTACATAGGTCAAATAGAAAAATTAGCACTTTCCTCTCCATTAATTTTAACCTTAGGAAATTCATCTCCTTTTTTCTAGAGCTTCATAAATTGCATATGGTGAAGGGAAATTAAAGATGCTTACTGATTTTAGATATATTGAAATATAAATATCATTTTTAAACTATTTTGATAATTTGTTTGCAAAAATTACATTCTGCTATTGTACGTATCTTTAGGGTGGTAGAACACGACTTTATTCATTTATTATGAGAATATTCTCCTACTCAGTTATCTCATAAAAGTGATTCTATGTTGACTGAGTTGATAAGTGTAGTATAATCTTTAGTGAATCTTTATTTTATTTTCAATTTTACTTACATTTGTTTTAAATAAAAATAAATGCTACAGTAATATTTATGTGAAAGTTATAGCCCTTGTGATTTATGAATTGAGTGCTGTCAATTTCTTCTTGTAAGCATAGATGAAACTTCAAATATTTGGCAAAATAAGTTCACCAAAATGAGGAAGGTTTTAAATGAACTATTCAAATTTAAGTTAACATTTATTATTCTTTGAGTGAAGTAGTCTGTAGGGAATAGTTATTTATGGGGCCAGGGATTTAGCTCAGTGATTCCAGTGCCTACCTCACAAGTGCAAGTTTCCAACTTTGATCCCCAGTACCAAAAACAAAACAAAACAAAACAAAAAAACAAACAAACAAAAAAGAATAGGTACTTATATGGTAAGAATAGAAACTTTTGTCTTTGTTTTTGACAGAAATTCTGATTTCTACAATTTTTTTCAGGGTAAATATTGTCTTGTTAATTTGGGGTCTCTAAGGATTTGCTGGGCCTCAATTGCTGGAATAGCACAGTGGTAGTTTCTAAAGTTCAAAAGATAATCTGATTGTTTTATTTAAACTGAAAACCTTAATTACACTTTAAATATTTAAAACTGAGGGACAATATTGCTTAAAATATTCAAAAGGTTAAATATATATGTTTATATAGAAATCACACTTTTTCTTTTTGTAGTAGTCTGAAGTATTTTAAACTCCCAACAAGAAACATGCAATGACAAGAAATATTTAATATGATAATAAAAAATGATATACTTCAAAAATATAGGCAATAGCAAATATATTGTGTCCTTGTGCAAAATAAATATCAGATGTTACTTCTTAGTAAATCAATCAATTAAAATTTAATCTAAATTTCAGGATTGTATTTCCTGCAATGATATAATTATTTTAATCAATATTTAGGGAAAAGGCAGTGAGCTAAAAGAAGCAAATACTTTTTAAAAAGATTAACAGAAAGGAAACACAAGTACAAGATTTTATTGAGGTGAATAAATAACATGGGAACAAGTAGGTGAGACAGGAAAACAGAGAGAAAATGGTTACAGTTTAATAGAAGTTGTAATGGAATTAATCATAACATGAAGACGTATATGCTTTGTTTTGTAAGATATATTACCAAGCACCCTTCAGAACAAATTGCTTTAAAAATCAAAATAAAATCTTGTAAAATCTTTTTTATTATTGCAACAATCATTTCTTCATAAGAGAATTATTCTTCAAATTAGTACTTGCTCCCCCAAAAATTCACTCTGAAAAATAAACTTTAATAAAAGCCCAAATGAGATTCTAATAGCAATTTTAAAATTATTTAACATATTAAATAGGAACACTTCACCAAATAATAAAAATATACCACTTGACTAAATAACTGGGTAATGTTGTGAATAGGTGAAAAATCAAGATGAAATAAAATAAAATAAAATAAAATGTAAAAAGCTTGTAATGTGCTTATAATGGACCTCAACTTACATCAGTGCTGCTTAAATAATAATCTTATTGCTGTCCAGAAATAAAGTTGATCAATAATATAGTCATACAAGCTGTAGCATACATCTAACAATAAGTTAAAATTTTTAAAAATTACCCATTGTCATGAGTTCTTATTATTTTACCTTTTATTTTATTTTTATCATTGACAGTTTTTCTTGAGAATAATTGTAGACATGAAATACATCCTATGTGCAGCCATATCTAACATGAAATCCTCTCAAAGAGCAATCTCAAATGGCCACGTGGTTAGAAACGAGAAAATACTCCTAGAAATAATTAACCTGAGGAGGTAATGTTGCATATTAAAAAGTAGCCCTACAAACTAGGCATTTCTAGATTTTATATGCAACACATAAACAAAATATAAGCAATTATAATGCCAATTGATTACAATTCAATGACAATTGTCATATGTTGGGAAATATTTTTTTAAAAACCAAAAAATAAACACACTAGTGATTTTCACTGCAAGGTTGAACATCTTGCTGGGTTATCTTGCACACTGGAGCTTTTACTAATCTCTGGAATGGGCAAGGGCCTCCATACCAGTCCCCCCAGGCAGGTAACACACGAGATTGTACACTGATTTTGTTATCTCCCTAAACTGAGTTCACTGTGATTCTTCCTAGTGCATTAATGTTCTGGGTGTGTCAGGGTCTGTGAACAAGTCAGTTGCTGACAGTGAGAATGTTTTCACCCAGTCCTGAATTATTGACCATTAGAAATATTAGTCACACTCAGTTCCACGCCAGTTTTTGCATATATTTAGCATACTTTAAAATGCTGTGAAGCTGAGGAAGATGCATTTGTCCTTCTCTTCATTTGATCACAATAAGAAGTCCTGACTTTGGAAGCAGGAGGATGAGAAGAAACCTAGGCTGGGTTCCTCCCACCTGTGACACCAAAGCACCATCCCTGTGGAACATAGCAACTCTGAGTGCTGTAAAACTCTCTTCATAATGCTGCAGAATTGAACTTTAGTCTGTGCCAAATAAAATGCACCATAAACACTGAAGTTCCACCTGAGAGCTGGGGGACATGTGCCAAGATGAGCTCCGAAGCGGCTAACAGGGGTCCTGAATCTCCTTCCCTAATGACTCCTAAGCCCCTCACCCATTTTCCAAAATCCTTTCTTCTTTAGAGGGAATTCTTAATAAGAGAAGTTACATGAATCAATGTAAAAGCACTGTGCTGAGCATGATACATTTCATAATATAATATTCACCACTGTATTATGCACATTGAGATTTTCAATCCCCAAATATATAATAATGAGAAGTTAGTCCTACTCAGTTAGGTAATGGTGTAGAACATCAGTATGAGTTTAGCAAATTAATGTCTAGCTTAACTGAGTCATAAACCAAGCTCAGGCTATGTGACAGAGAGCAAGGCAGTGTTAACAGTTCTACAGACAAAGGTGGACTTGAGAATAAGCTCACTGTTGCTGTAGCCACAAGCTGAAGCACACTTTCTTGGCAAACAGTTCTGTCACAAGCAATTATATTGTCTGTATTTTTAGCAAAATAGAGTATGTTGTGATATTAACATCACCTACAAATACCCTTGCAGGTTTGACCTCCACGATTTCCATGAAATTTTAATTTTACTTTCATTACATATTCTTGGAGAATTATTCAAAGATGTGAGCTAACTCATTAGAGAAACTAAGGAATACAGAAAGGTAGGAAACTAGAAGTAAGAGATCAATTAATATAGCATAAATAATAACTTTAATATTCTCTGTGCCAATATCACTTAAGCAGTATCTGGATAATTTATCCAGCCCTGAAATTGCCCTAGGTGGGTTTTTTAGTGGAAATTAATGCTGTCTTTGACAGACCGGCAGTTCTCTTGGCCCTGCACCTCCAGTGCCATGCCCACCAGTGAGCTCAGCCCGCCAAGGCTCACAGCGCTCACTGCCCCTACAGTGTGCACTCTGCAAACACTGTGACTACTGCCCCGAGCAGGCATCTGGTCTTGCACATGGGAAGGCTCCTGTCTGTCCTCTCTGTCCACATCACTGTCACAAGCTCCTCTCCTGCTGAGGAGAGAGGCTGTGCTGCAGAAAGCAAACACCCATTTACCCTCTGCCTGGCCCAGAGGAGGAAGAGCTGCTCCTGTGCAGGCTGTGTGCTCCCCACCTGGAGGAGAGGTCAGGAGAGGCCTGAGATACAGGGCTGTGCAGACAGGGTACTGCAGGGACATGAAGACAGCGGAGTGGACTGCTCCCTGAAGGAAGGGGGCTGTTTATAAAGCCTGGGCTCCACTTGTGGGCTGGGGACTGTTTCCAGACAGGGCATCCTGGTAACAGTGTGACTCCTGTGGAGCCGATGAGCAGACACCTGGGAAGACTTTGCCCTCCCACCTTGTGCTCTCTTCTATCTCAGCCACCAGAGAGGGACACACTCTCTGCTGTTACTAGTGGATAGGAATGTTCACAGGATTCAGGTTTTTAACTTACTTTGAGAATTGTTTAGATAAAAATAACAATTAATTTAAATTAAAATTTTATTTCAAATTAGTTTACAGTCATGGAGATGAAAGAATTTAAAACTCAGAAAAGACATGAATACAATGATGGCATGATAGGAAATGAATCTATATTTTCAGAGCAGGGTGAAGGCCTGGATCACCAGGGCCACAAGTGAATGAGGTGCCTAACACCCCACAATATGCCCATAATACCCCTTTGATTACATTTCTGCCTGACAAATTCCAGGTTCTGTTTTGTTTTGTGGGATCAAACCCAGGCCCCATGCAGACCACACAGTACTCCAAGCTGTCCCCACATCCCAGCTTTTTTATTACTTATCAGTCAAGTGAGAGGTGCAAATCTCTGAGACAAGCCCATTCCCAGAGTCCTACTCACCGAGTTCGCCAGCATGACGGCGGCTATGGCTGAGAACAAGAACACAGAAGGTTC